AAGCAAATGAATGTCAGATGCCGTGTTCGTGTAAACACGTCTCTTATAGCTACTAAGTTTCTTTTTAGGTGTGACATGCCATTTAGAGGGAGTGACGAGTCTGTTAAATATTTATTTAAGGGGTCATTTCTTGATTTGGTGGACACTCTAAAGAAAATTAACCCAAAGATAGCTAGTGTGATAGATTGTGCTCCAGGAAATAACTTTGTGACTGCCCATAAGATTCAAAGGGATCTTGTTGTTGCTTGTGCATGTGAAATAACTCAACAAATTGTATGTGATATTATGGATGATGTGTTTTGTGTTTTGATTGATGAATCTGGTGATGTTGCTGGTAAAAAATAAATGGTTGTTGTTGTTCACGATGTTAATAGTGAAAGATTGTTAAGAGAAAGGTTTCTTGACATTATAAGTGTTAAAGAAATAAGTGCTAAGTCACTTAAGGAGGCACTTGATAAATTGTTATCTAGTAATGGCTTAAGTTTATCCAGCATTAGGGGAAAATGTATGATGGAGCTAGCAATATGCAAGGTAAGTTTGGTGGTTTGAGAACTTTAATTCGAGATGAGAATCCATCTGCTTATTATGTGCATTATTTCGCCCATCAACTTCAATTAACACTTGTTGCATGTGCTAAGACTCACAAAGATGTTAGTAATTTTTTCGGTAAGGTCAATATGCCTGTTAATTTCATACGAATTTCTAATAAAACATAGGAATTGTTTCGGGACAAATAAGTAACTCGGTTTGCTAAATTGATTGAAGAGGGTCAAATGGAGAGTGGTAGTGGATTATATCAAGAATCATCTATTACTGGAGCGTGTGATACTCATGGGGTTTCCCCTTTAGAACTCTAACTAGTTTGATGACTTTGTATGGTGTCATTATTGGGGTACTTGAAAAAGATGGGAAGGATACATCATTTGAAAAATATGGTGAAACTATTCTTTTGCTAGATATGCTTCAGTCCTTTGATTTTATCTTCATGTTATATATGATGGTTGAGATTTTAGGATTTACAAATGATTTTAGTGTAGCGCTATAAAAGCGTGATCAAGATCTTTTAAATGCTTTGTCATTTGTCAATGTTACCAAATAAGAATTACGAGAAATGAGGAATGATGGATGGGAAGAACTTATATATAAGATTATAGAAATTTGCAATAAGCATGATATGGATGCACTGTATGTGCAAGGGAAGAAACCTAGATGACATGCTACAACTTCTAGTGTTTCTAATTTACTTCATTATAAGCATGATTGTTTGTTTAGTGTTTAAGATTTGCAATTGCATGAGCTCAATGTTAGGTTTGATGAAGAGAGTATTGAACTTTTACAACGTGTTTCATCTTTGAGTCCTTCACCGTCATTTGTAGCTTTTGATGTGAAAAAATATTTGAGGATGGTTGAACTTTATCCAAATGATTTTGTAGATGTGCCGAAAGTAATGGTGTGATATCAGTTTCAAAATTATGTTAGAAATGATCGACGTGACCCCAAACTTGCAAATTTAAAAGGACTTTCAAATCATTGTGTAAAACTTGTAGAAACAAATAAATGCAACACATTTGACATAGCTCATAAGCTTCTAAAATTAACTTTAGTCTTAGCGGTAGCATCTGCAAACGTGGAACATATTTTTTCAGCTTGTGAAGAGTAAGTTATATAATAAAATGAGTGATCAATAATTAAATAATTATTTTGTAACTTTTATATAAAGAGGTGTTCTTAGAATAATCAATAAGAAAATTATTTTAGCTCATTTTCAGTAAACAATTTTCCATTGTATACTTTATTACACAGTATTATTTCTTTGCGCTAAAAAGGTTTGGGACATAAAAGTGCTCATCTCAAAATTTCATGTGACAATTTTGATGGATGCTAACAATTTTTTTTTTGTTAGACTCATTCATCCAAAACAAAACCCAGACTTTTAAGTAGGCTCAACAAATAGACATTTCAATTGAACTTCTGAACTAATCAAGGCCGAATATTAAATTTTCCAAATAAAACATTTTTTATTTATTTTATAAAATCAACAAAACCACAAATTCATTGCATGTCTAGTTTTTTATAATTTTTTTTATAAAGAAAATAACCTCAAATTACATTATATGTTGGATCGGTCAATATAAATTAAAACCCTAGCTTTAAATGAAATCGGTGAAATAGACATTGGAATTTATTTTTCAGATTAGTCAATCTTAAGATCAAATATAGTTTTTTTTTTTTCATTTTTTAAAACATTTCTATTAATTTATTACTAAGCCTACAAGACCAAAAACTCATTTTTTTGTCGTTTTAGAAAAGTTTCTTAAATCCCATTCGGGAGATTGTGTTTGTATATGCATATTACATGGATATGCATTTGAAGCTCTAGGATACAAAAACAGGCTGAAATATATGATATACATTGATACTCGTGTGTGATGCACCATAGATGGCACCCGTAAGCTACGCTTCCAACACTACATGTGCTTAGATAAATGTGACTTTCAAGATTTATATGGTTATTGTCAATTTGATTAATATAGGGTTTAGAGTATAATAATTTGTCTACATATTTTCAATCTCTAGACATGTTTCAAACTTATATGACACTCGTTCCAAATATTTATTTTCCATCAACCTTTTTAAACCTGTGTTCGAGTAACATTCATACAACACAGTATCGAATCATTTAAACAAATATTTAGAAAATAATTTTTTTTTTCTTCAGCACACCTTATATTTTCAAGGCACTTTTTAAAAAGGATTAAACATGTATGGAAGCAATGTCATCGATGAAGTTTAAATACTATCATTTGCGTAGCAATGTTGATATCCTAAATATTTTTAACTATTAGTGTCGGAGTGTAGTGTCCTATCCTAGTTGTGGCTATCTTGGTTATGGACGGAGTTTGGTGTCCTATCCTAGTTGTGGCTATCTTGCTTATGGACGGAGTTTGAAGTTTGAAGTTTGTGCTTCATAGGATATTTTCCTCTAAAATACGAGGCTGCTTGGAAACACCAGTGTATGGCTGAAGTGAAGCAAATAGTTTATGCGTTGGCACAGCAGTGCCACAAAGTCTTTCCATACACATGGATATTCTGATGTAAAATCACTTTCCCAAGTAATAAAACCTGTATTTTTACCTAGCTCAATTATGATGATATCGACCCAAATCTATGTGTGAAACTTTTCAATATACCACGATTTTACCTCATCTACTGTGTAGTCAAAAACATGCTTTAAGTGCATGTTTGATATCAGGAATCATTCGCTGCACTACTACGAACCACCCTGAGTTTGCAAAAGCCCGGTGGATCATCATAATTTCAATGAACACACCATGATATCAAATACATATACTATTTTCTTCAAAATAAAATATGGCAAAAATGATATGTAAAAAATTGATGTATCTGATTATAAATCATGATAAGATACATTAACTTATCATATTCCCTTTTTCTTATATTTCATTCCGAAGGGTGTGTGTCCGCATGTTATTCCACAAAAGAATCTCATGTTATTCTACAAAAGAATCTATTAGTCTGATCTCCAACTCCCATTTTCATGTAACCATCAAATCCAAACAAAATGACACATGCTCAAAAGGCATCTTTAAAGACACACAAGCAAAAAAACAAACAGAAAACCATTTTGAACTCCATAAACATCATTGAAAATCCACACAAAACTAGTCCAAGGTGCCCACCCAACCTCTAAGACTCTGTTTGGGAAGATAATTTTTGAGCTCATACCTTATAACCTCATAAGACAATAAAAGACCTGATAACAGTCTTTCTTATCACAAGTTATAACTTATTTTGCAGACACTATTTTAAATAACATTTTAGCTTATAGCTTATCATTTTTTTTCTTCCACTTTTGTCTTTATTATTTTAACTAAAACCCACAACTACCCTTTATAATTTATTTTAATTTAAATAAAACAATTATATATTAAATGTCTTTTATGTCATTTTAATTTATCAACTAATTGAACAATTAATTTTACCGAACACTTCAATTAGCTTATCAACTATAAATTATCGGACATTAGCTATAAGCTATAATCCATCAATCATCAGTCATAAGTAATCAGTTAGCTAATCAACCAACCGCTATCACATCAAGACAAGGATTTGTTGGAATTTTATTAGACAAGTTAAAATTCCAAAAGCCACTTTAATTCCTTGTCTTCATTACAAACTTTAATCAAGAAAGTAACTGTATTAAATTTTCTTTAGTAACAACCTAAAAGTCATGTTTCTAAACCCAAATTACCAATTTAACAACAGATATGTTACTGCCCAACAAAATACTTGTCCAATACCGTATGTACATCAAGTTGGGAAACATTTTGATTTTTTGTAACTGCCGTCAATGGCAGATGGCAGTCCATGGTGGAGAGCCAAAATCCTGCCATAGCAGCTGCAAAACTGCGGTGGCAGATAATGGCAGAAAAACCCACAATATGGGTAAGATATTTACCATTGCATGACGCCCAAAAACTACCATGTATATCCGCCATAGCGCCACCTTTTTAATTACCTTTTCCATCTCTCACAATCATCTAATCATCTCGTATAAATGGTGAATTTTTAAAGTTCAAATAAGTTCAATAAGGTTTCAAGAAAACAAATATGTATTAGAACCAAAAGTAAGAACAAAACATAGCATATTTCTCAGTAGTCTCATTCCCAAAATCTCAAATCCTAATCTACCAATAAAAAGTGTCAATATGAACAAGAAATAAAAAACACAAGTAGTGCAAGAATAGCGAAAACGAAAAGCAAATTTAGATCCAAAAATGCTGACTAAACTGTATTAATTAATATCGCAATACAATAATCTCTTGGCATAAAATTGTCATAACTATAAGCCCTACGCAATTTGCTCTGGATCTAAAAGCCAAAATAAATCCTGCAACAATTTCAATTTTAGTAAAATACAAGAAAAAGGTTGAACAAACCTCATGATAGAAAACTCCACCGGATCAAGATCCCACCGTTTACACGCGTCCAACAACCGGAGCAGCGGCAGAGGCAGCGCCACCAAGGAACGATAAGAATCCCGAACTATTCACCTCTTGATCATCCAGAAACAAATCTTCAGGAACACGAAACGCACCGTGTGCACACACGATCGACAATCCAACCATAAGCGCAGAGATCAACAAAGATCCAACGCTTGTGAGAAACACAACAAAAATAGTGAGCACAACAAGAATCCCTAGGGTTTCACGATCGGCGAATGTACGGCCGAAGATAACAAGCGGTTGATCTGAAGGACGGAATAGATAGAGAAACGACCACGACGCGAGAAGTCCGAGAAGAACCAGCAACGAAAACGGATGTGTGATCAGAGAAATCGCGAGCGCGAAGATGATTAGGGTTAGGTAATTAACACGGAAGTATGTGAAATTCTTGCGGATCCGTGAATACGCTTCGGCTAGTGTTTCAGGCCGTGAAATTGAGGAACGGTCGACGAGTTCGTACCAGGGACGGCGCTGTGAGAAGGCTTGACGGAGGGAGGAGGAGATGCGGGAGATGAAGGCGCGGAAGGCGGGTGTTGCGATGGGAGGCTGAGATTGGGAGGAAGCATTGCTGGTGTTTATGTTTGATTGGGAAGTGGAAACGGGGAGTGTCGGTGTAGATGACATGGTGGCGCGTGAATCTCCGTTGCCGCGCGTGACTATGGATGGAACCGATAGAGAGAGAGGCAATGGAGATTCGTGCGTGATTGGGGTTTGTTTGTGAGAGGAAATTATTAAAGTTGTAAAGTTGATAAATAATAAGTTCAAAAATAACGTTGATAATAATAGAATAAGCTAATCAGTGTTAGTGTATCATAATTGATTTGAATTTCAGCCACCAATTTTGCCTTTTATTTTTACATCAACTTTTAAATTAACAAGATATACTTAAATTGTGTAGATTAAATTGTGTAGATTTTCCTATAGTATAGGTTTAAATTATAGCCTCTGTGTATGAAAATATATACTCCTTCTATCTGGTTTCATTTGCATTTTTCTTATATTTTAAAATAACTTTTTATATAATATTTATGATTTTTATTATTATATTGTTATTCATTAATTTTCACGTTTTTAATTATTTTAATAATTATAATAAATAAGAATATTTTAATAAAAAATATCAACTTTATAATTAAATAAATACACTTATATCTAATATTTAAAAAAAAATCATGTATAACTCAAATAAAATATTTATTATGAGATGAAGGTAGTAGAAAAATAGTATAGGTAAAAATAATTATGTGCTTAGATATATTTAAATTTTGAATTTATTTAAATTATTAAATTAAAATTTAATTGTTATGCATTTTCTTTCTGTGTGTATCATAACTATTTAAATGTGTTGTTTTAATAGAATTTGAGTAAGAGTAAAATATTTTTAAAAAGTCAGCAACTGTGAGTAACAGAGAAAGTAACATACACACTGTGTAAAAGTGTATTAGTTTTTCTTTTTTAAACAATAAAAAGTGTATTAGATTAAGTAATATAATAGATTCAGATTATCTTTTAAAGGTTAATTCTTCAAAAGTTTGACTTAGACTCTTTTTAATAGTTGGTTAAAGGCAAATACGACCGGGAAGCAAGCCTTGTAGACTTTAATTGACTTTCTTTAATCCAACATTTTTCCTTAACTTATTTTAGACTTTAATTGACTTAGACACATGGAGTGCAAGCCTTCTAGATTTATTCTCGTGTTGTCGTATTGAAAATTTGTATCATTGCATCAAAAGTTCATCATATCTAATTAATCACAATTTTAGTTTTAATACAGAACAATAAAGTTGAATGTAAAAATCGAGATGGAATTGCAAGAGGGAATTCTTCCTAACCTCGTGTCAGAGAAGTTTGTTAAATCTCTTGATCTAACAAGCGATTTTAATTACTGTAATTAAGGATATCAAAAAGAAAACACTACAACAATAACAATCTCTTACTGTTAGAGTTCACTCTATCAGAAAGGTAAATTAAAAGAGTCCATGAATCAATGTTATTGCGATAAAATAAACGAACCTTCGACGCATAGTTTGAAATTTTTCCTTATCCTCGCGATTAGTCACATCACTCTAGAATACTCAAATTGTAGTAGAAACTTGACCGATCCAAATGTAGCTTGAGACAGACATGAAGGTATATTTCGAAGGCATAGGTCGAAGTTGGATGAAAAGAGAAAAACTCCACGCACTCGGCGAATTCCTCAACATTCGACGAAGGAAGACATGCTTGCTGAATATATTCCACTATATATGATAAAGAAATCGTCCCTGGATCTCTCAAGGGAAGAACGCTTGGAAGATAACAGTAAAGTAGTTATCAATAGTTTTCAGAAGTTGTAACGCCCTACTCTACCCATTCGCATAAAAATTAAAAATACAAAAATAATTGCGGAAGTAATCAGAGTTACACACGTAGGATGCCACATTCCAAAACCTCATTATTAAGTATCAAATCACTTCATCTCTTATTCATCAATAAAAACAAATAATTTTATTAAACAACGAAAATCAACTCCATGGTTTAGCATTAAAGCTCCAATCACATCAATCCCCACATAATACGTGATTCAACAACAATCAAAACAAAGCATGATACATAATAAATAGCGAATAACAAATAACATGAAAGACATAACGAAATCCCCATCTTTTCCATGTTACGTATCAGAGTGACTCTTAAGACTCGATCAAATAGTCACACAAGTTCCAAGCACTACTCAAGTACCTGGTCATCTATACTCCCTAAGGAGCACAGACACAACAAACAGAAAAAGGGTGAGAACTACATTCAATAAATACACGGTGAGAAATACATTATAAGAGATAGTTCACACAAAACACAACAATCATACAATCTTCACGCACATACAAGTGTCACATCACCATTCGACATGAACAACCCACATTCAATCATATATATATATATATATATATATATATATATATATATATATATATATATATATATATATATATATATATATATATATATATATATATATATATAAGTATGCAATGCGACTCACTAACACGACACAATGCATGCGGTACCATCACAATCACATGCGGTTCACCCTAGAACCCAATTCCCATCGAAATCCAAATAAGATGTATACGTTCCTCTGAACTACAACTCATCTCCACACGACTCCCACATAGAGTCCAGACAAGACTAGACACCCATCGTGGATTCCCACTTAGCTCGTCTCCACATAACATGACATGAATGCATGACACAAATTATGCCCAACATAATAATTTTTCGAGCATAATTTCACGATCCTCAATGATCACACACGAGCCACATGCTCACCGTAATTCTCTCAGGAATTACCACCACCGCTCAAGGTTGTCCACACGACGACAATCTTGGCGTACAAGCATCAAACATGTCTTATAAAGACAGTCACATAAAACTCCATGTTTTTATCATATTCTCTATCATTACTAGTTTCCTTATATCCAATTATGTCACATTAGTCTTACAGATCAAGATAAATTGCATCGCACACAAAACTGGGACAAAAATCGCGAAAACAGGGAAATTGAACTACAGCTCTGCCCATACGCGTATGACCAACTTCCCCTACCCCAGGCCTGCGTATCGTACGCGTATGGCCTCACTTCCTAGCCTCCATACGCATATTACCTTCTGCCGTACGCGTATGGCCAGAGGCCATTTCCCTCAGAATTCCCCTCAAAAACTCCCCATACGCATAAGGCTACCCCCATACGTGTATAAACCCATCCCTTACGCATATCCTACGCGTATGGCCAGAAGGTCGTGCTGGCTTGGGGACAGGGTGCGTATCATACGCGTAATACCCCCTGGTGTGTCCCCCATACGCGTATGGCCAGATAACATGCCAAAATCTCAGAATTTGCCTCTACACTAGTTCTCACACATTTGAACCCATTCTAACACCTAAATCAGATCAAAAATCATCTCTTCTTTAGTCTAATTCCAAGGTTCTAACTCTACTTCACGGTTTCATCATTTTTATCAACATTTTATGTGTTAACAACCTATTTTTCGTTAATCCCATAAACCCCAAATTTTTAGATCTGGTTCCATATCAAAACCCAGCAACAACAGTACCAAATGGCACGAACTTTCCATTCAAAATCAACATACAACACAGATTCATACACATATTCAGTATACAGCTACGAATTAACAGCAACAATCATACGACGCAACAATCAGACAAGGAAAAGGAATAATGTACATAAAATTCTAAGAGGAAAAGAAACCCTCACTACCATCTCATGTTATTATCACCATTAGAAAACCCATTCTCCCCCTTACTTGAATTCTGAGCTTTTCCTTCCTTCAACAATGGTGGAAAAATTCCTCTTCTTCTCTAACCCTAGCTTTCCTTCTCTCTTTTCACGTAAAACCAAAACTGATTGTAACTCCTCCACTAATTACTCTCATTATGTTTTACCTCTTAATTATTTTACTACTACTAGTAATAATCCCAATAATAGTTCCAATATAATAATAGTGTAAATAATTATAATAATATTAATATTAATAATCGTAACCATAATAATATTAATATTGAGACACTAATATTAACATTAATAAAATGCCTCACTATCATATTATCATTACCATGTTGTCCTAACCTTTAATTCTGATTAAGTCCTTTTACTAAGCTCTCACACCCACCCTTAATTAAATCAATAAAATCACAAACAACACATCATAAGGCATAAAACAACTAAATAATTAAATAAGGTGTTGCACAAGTACCAGATACAGAAATCTGTAGGAGCCGAACCCACAACTCAACATAAAAAGAATAGACCTGTTAGAAAATAAAGAGTGTCTCCTAAAGCGGCCCATAGACTGAGCGTCTAAAGTCTGCTAACGCGGGCCCCATCAAAGTTAAAGCGGATGTCTAAACCAACTACCGAATGATCACATACGAACCATCTGGCGTCGCTTGTTAAGGAACGCGTGCAGATCCTCGCAACATGCGAGATAAGAATATCCTGAGACTCTTCAAAAAATTAAATAAATGAATACTTTACCTAATAAGATATTTTTATCGTAAGTAAGATTATAATCCTTGCCGATGGGGCACAGGTTCTCTTTGTGAAACATGATCGCACTTGCTAAAACACACTAAGACGCGGGTGGCACACTCCCCTCTTAGAAACTAGTCACTCTAAGAGAGTAGGCACTGGAGCCCAGGTGTTGGTCCTTATGGGATTAGCTGTATTATGCAAAACAACATGGAGTTTGTTCAAGTTTTTCTGGTGCAGAAGGGACACATGTGGAACACAATGTTGTAACATGTGTGTTGCAACATCTGGTCTCTAACAACAAACAGATGGTACTGTATTTTTGGTTCAGAATTATTCTATCTAAGAATCTCTCAAAGAAGATCTACAAGTCATGGAGAAGGGTTAATTTACATGTACTAGTGCAACATATGGAACACGGCGTTCTAATTTGTATAGTGCAACATCTGTCCATGTCAGTAGGCCATAAGGGGTTTTTGTTTGGTGCTAATTTTCTGATTGGATTTCAATCAGATTTGTTGCAGATTTATTAGTAATGTGTGTTTGATTTGTTTGATAATTTTTGAAGATCAAATTAAATTTAAATGTAACAAA